GTGGCCCCCTTGGGGGGGGGGGGGGGGGGGGGGGCATGAGTTACCGTCAGAGGCATGCGGTCTCCTATCTGGCAGTGAGAGGCATGCTGGGATTTATGGGTGGGGCCTCTGGCAACGGCGAGGACTCCGGAACGATCTGGAACAAGATGCAGGAATTCATCACAGAGCATCGTTGTTACTGGTTTTTCGTCGGGCTGGATGCAGTCATGTGACTCCCCTCTTCCCCCCCCCCCATAGACCCAGAGTGCGCGCTAAGTCCGACGGAGGATGAACCGGAGGCGGAGCTGAGGAGGGGGCCTCTCGCATCGGAGGAGCCCGAGGACGGCGGCGAGGAAGAGGAGGAGGAGGACGCGACGCTGCTAAGCTGCCCAGTTTGCCGGCAGGTGTTGGAGACGCCAGGCGACCTCGCCGAGCACAAGATTAATCAGTGCCACCTGACAGGTAAACGGAGCGCGGGCCCCTGCGGCCGGCCCCCCGGGGCCACACCGCCTTTCCCATCTGCGGCCCTCAGAGCGCCACGATGACCGCCTTGGTGCCCGATTGTCTGTGTGGGTTTTTACTGCTATATCTGTAGACATCTAATGGTGAACTAGTTTCAGAAGTTCTGTATTTCAAGAAACACTGCCTGAAAGATCAAAGATTAATTTAGCATAGTGTACTCAAACTAAAACACAATTAGATAACTGTCTACTTACATACAAGTTTAATTAGTGGTGGTTAGATATAGTGTTTGTATGCCCAGTTGGTTTTAGAGTGTTGAGGTCCTGTTTTAAATATTCCTGTCACATGGGCGGGGCTACCGGGGCAGTAGTGTCAGCTGAAAGCTGATTGGCTCCCACTTCGTGTGTTACTCACTGACTTCAAACATATCATTGGCTAATGACAAGGTGGGCCTCTCTATATAAATTAAGGCCCCTCTTATGACTCCCACCGATACATCTGAGATTAGCCGCTGCCGTTTTGCCATCCATGTATCTAACACCGGGTGGCGGTGGGTCTGAAGCCTATCCCAGAATGCACTGGGTATAAAGCGGGGGACACTCTGGATGGGGTGCATAGTCACTAGGACAGCTGAGATGCGATTTTGACCGCATGTTTTATCAGTAGTAAACACTCCTGTAAGATATTTTCTTCAATCCCACATGTTAATACATCATCGTCGCATATATCTCCGGCGTTCTGCGAGCATTAAAAATCTGATCCGTATCAGGTAAAGGAGATAAATGCAACTGCAGCGGAACATCGGTCCCCGTTTCAGAAAAATGTAGCATTCTGAGGTCCCTGGAAGCAGGGGCCGGGATCTGCCGCAGTGCCGTGATTCACCATTATTGATAATCCGCGAGACGTGAATTCTGAGCAATTCGCCGCGCAATAAATCAAACGCGGCGGCCGCAGATGGATCTCCGATGGAGATGGTTGCAGGATCGGACTCGGCACCTGCGCTGGTCGACAACGGCGGCACGTCATGCGTCCTGGTGATTTACGACGGCAAAAGAAACCGCGGAGTCCGGATTGGAAAGGCCTGAAGTAGTCAGATATGAATATTCATGCTCAAATACTTTTCTGGGGACGTGATTCCGGAAATTGCCCTGTCCCGACGTGATTAGGAAGGCGGGGGTGCAATGACCTTGCTGGATAAAGGCATTTAAATGCACATGGCTGCCCCCCCCCCCCCCCCC